CCTCTCTCCTCAAATATATATAATATCTCCTCATGTTTTCTCTTCAACCTCTCATCCTCGTCATCACTAATCTTTTCACTTAATATTTCCTTGGGTTCTATGTTTGCCTACAATTCTGTCCCAACAGCTCACCAATGGTCTCATGTGACCTTCATCTATCAACATCAACTAGGATTTCAATGTCACAAAGACAACTGATGACTTCACTAATAACGAAGTTGCTGTATTGATGATAGAAGTTAAAACTCATGATTCAGTAGTATAATCAATGGCAAGATGGGAAGGGCTTCACAGAAATGCTTCATATTTAGAGTTTTTAGTGGTAAATTCTTTAGAAGTTGCATCAGGATCTCCAGCTCCCACTTAGATTGTAAAAGAAGAAATAGTAGGATTTCACCCCCAGTAAAAGAACACTAATGACACTTCTTCAGGAATAACAAGTACGAAAGCAGCTGACCATGTTAACAGGAAATGCAGAAATAATACCATAATACCAGGTTTTCAGAATGCTTATCAAACAGACTGGTTTAATCACAAGCATTCCCTTAAAAGTACAAATGCCTGATACCGACCTGTAAACTCCAAAGTGTCTTATAGAAGTTGAAATCTATAGAAATACCTGAAACCAAACAAATTGATGCACTGTTAAGCACTAAATAAAATACAAACACAAATCACCAATTGATGCCTTGTTAAGCACACTAAATAAAATGCAAACACAAATCAGCAAGAAAGTGATGGGNCTGTGGACTTCTAAGTATATACAGAAAAAGAAAATTAAGTACCTGAACGCTCGGATAAGGGGAAGAAGTGAGCAAGAAACATGATAATGCGCCCACAGAAAACAACATCATTAGCCTGCATTACAAGATGTTTACACAGGACACAATTAGAACATTTTGTTTACTTAGTGAAGAGAGAAGGTAAAAATGCCCACAAGCATTAATCAGGTTTTACCAGTCATACAAAAATGGAATGAAATACAACGAAATTTAGATTTAAGTACTGACTCGTGATAGGTAAATTGGCTTAAAGAAAATATTTTAAAGCATCAAGGAGAGAAAAGACGATGGAAGCAATGACTTCCACGACCTTGTGCATTGCTTTTTCTTTATTGGCAATCTAATGATTAATCAAATGGAGAGAAACTTCCACGCTAAGTTGCTCTGTCCCAATTCTAAAACCTTAATCCCGCCTAAAGTCATAGCATTTTACTTAGCAACCCCCCCCCCCCCCCCCCCCCACCCACACACACACACACCCAAAATTGCCAGAATGAATAAAAATGGAGATAATGGAGCCACCTTCTCAAACCTCTGCATGTAGGAAAAAATCTTTAGATGTCCTGTTTATAATAACTGAAAACGTTACTGTAGATATGCAACATTTCATACACCCAATCCACTTTTTCCCAGACCCGATTTCTTTACAAATTTAGCCAAGTATGATCAATTAACATAATCATACACTTTCTGTATGTTCAGCAGCTTCCCCGTGTCTCCTACTATCCAAGCATTCATTTGCAATAAGCACAGTATCAGTAATCTGCCTTCATTTAATAAAACCCATTTCTGTTTCAGCAACCAAATATTTCATCACCTTTTTTTCTCTCTGCCAGCAATTTGTGTTAAGACATAATATTATTAACAAAAAATATGCTCTCCCTAACAGCTTAAGCTTTTCAATGAGATGGCCACAGAGTTGTACTCCAAGTTGCCGGTACTCGAGGGGTTTGGGTGATTGGGTTCAATTCATCCTCATGACTTGGATCAAAACCACTTGGATTCATATTAATAGCACTGGTACAATACGAAGATCCTATTTTAATTCTATATGATACATCTTCATCTATCATGTTATCACCCTGAAAGACAGGGCAAAATAAATAAACATTACAAAACAAACATAAGTTTTCATCCCAAAAAGCTTCAGTACATCTCTTCTTCTATAGCTCCATAACAAACAAAGAAGGAGGTCCCCCCCCCCCCAAATTTATTTAATATGCGTCACCCAAATGTAAGCAAAACAAACCAAGAAACTACAAGTTAGAGGACTTTCTTGGGGGGTGGGGGGATAAGCGAAGTATTCGAATTAAGAGATACTTTAATAATAGCAAATATTTCTTTCATTACTCCATATAATAACTTGAGCTAAACTTCTTGATCATTAAGAAATAGGAACAGATATTTGAAATTGGAGCTTGTACATGGAAAGAGAAGAGATATTTGAAATTGGAACTTGTACTTCCAAGATAGTGCCGTGATCTAATACAGAGGGAAAGATTTAGAAATATACAATAAATGGAACTTTTTACCATGATAAAATGAAAACAATGGACAATGCCATTATTGGATACCGAGGCCCTTTCGGTTTCATTGCATTGACAATAAAGTAATGACTTATATTTGCTGCAAACTTATTCATTTTCACGATGTGCACCAGATGAATTAATGCGCAAACAGAGACAGATATTTCTGATATCTATTACAAGATGAAGCTGAAGGGAAAAGCACTGTGTACCTTTGATAGACGACGAAGCAACTGATTACACGTCCTTAACATAACAAGCTTCCCTCGTGCAAAGAGTTCTGGCTATATGTCACAAAAATGAACATAAACATTGTAAATGTTAAGAATTTGCCTCACCAAATAAACACAAACCATCAACAAAGTCAGAAATGTTCATAGAACTGAAACCAGCAACAATTATGCATACCTTCCCCAATATGTCTTGTTTGCTCTCTATGTACCCAAAGATATCCTCACAGTTTCTCATTGTTGACATTTCTGTCAAATCTTCTAAAAGTTGAAATATCATGCCACCCTCCACATGCTCTTTCTCACAAAGATATAGAACAATATCTATCAACAAATCAAACAAGGAGAGGTTACTAGGAAAGAACAAGTGACCTTCCATGATAGCTTCATATAGAAGATTAAGATAACATAAATGCATCTCACCAACTCCTATGTGAATCATCCAGAGCATTCATAGGCTTCCTAGAATCCAATTACACCTACCATTATGTACCCACTCATTAGCAATTAAGGCATATCTCAAGGATCTCTCTACCTCTACTGCTACACCAGTTGTGATCTAAGCTGAATTTTTCTATGGGGTTAAACAATAAATGTACATCAATAAGATGAATTATTTTTTTCTACTACTAGTAGTACTATTTACAACCACAGAATCTCAAAGGATCACAATTTCCTGATAATAACCCAAAGGAAAAAACATAGACAACCTTAAGAATTGAAAAACAAATGTATCTCAAGTTTATAAGCTCAAGAAAATGAGTCTTCCACAAGGAACTAACAAGATTGGAGGCAGATGAATTTCAACGAGTCAAAGACGCGAGGGGCAAGTGATGGCTATATTTCTAGGAGCGAACTCCGGGAAACTATGAAGCGTTGATGTTCCAAAAACAGAATACCACACTCACTGGTCATTGGTCAAGACTTGTGGAGATGGAGGGCAAGAAGTGATGATGCTTTTCAGCACAATCATACGACCATAAGCATAATGATGTCATATGTTTCTACATTTTTCTAGCACTCGAAAAGCAAGAGTTTCCACGTCTCTCCAACCACCGGGAACTTTAAACAACTGCATAACTTATGATTCCCTAAAATGAAATACTTCAAACATAGCGAGACCAAGAAACAAGCTAATAGGACATATGTCTTCTTGGCAGTATAATCGCCAATGCTACCAGACACTCACCAAGAAGGCGGGGAATCTGACCCTGACTTGATTCACCATCAACAATCGACATTCCATACTCCATGATCTTCTGCCCCGACTGAACTGCAGCAGCCTGTGACAGGATACAATTGTTCGCTAATCATAAGACAGACATGTTACCCACAAAACTACTCAATAGCATGACCAAAGGTGAAGCTCAAACAAAAACAAGAAAAAAACTATTGTTTTAATGAAAAGGTAGAGCAAAATATTCCCCCATGATACACAGCTCAGGAACAAGAAAGAACCAGCTTCACCCTTTAATGTAATGCAAGGTGGTACAGTTATAGAATGTCAGCTACTGCTAAGAAGTACTCTGGTAAAATCATGTTGTACTCTCTGCATTTCAAGTTGGAACTCGAATCAGTCACAACTGGTCCTAGAGGTGAAGTCAGTGANTCTTCATGCTTATCCCCCCAAAAAAAGGGATGTAGTTCCTACTAGATTTACTAAGTCCAATTCTCATCAGTCAGCCTTTTCTACCACAAATTGTACCATTGTTATAGCACACGCAAAAAATCCAGGTATTAACGATGATGCAATTCCTACTAAGAAAAAAAACACATACCACCAGTTCTTGAAGTAGCGACCTGAGAATATTCTCCAGCAGCTGATTCTCGTCTTGGACTAGCTTTATTTGCTTCTGCAGATGACCAGAAAAAAGTCAAGAAGATGAAGGATAAGAACTCCATGGCAGTAAGCTCACATCGGTAAGCATATCTCATTCATCATTATTTAACAAGACCTGGATGTATAATTTATCAAATAAGCTACAATTATGTTATGCAAAAATGGACTTCTTTATAAAAAATGTTACCCCTCAAACCAAGAAGAGAGCAAAATCTACAGACATGTCACCAACACAATCAAATCGCACAGTCAAACCATGTTTGGGAAACACTATCAAGTCTTAACTACTTGTAACATGGGAAAAGGTCCATTTTAAAGCAGGGAGCGAGTCCTTATGTTGAAACTTGAATATTCCGTCAACGCACCCCCAATGCACAGGAAAAAAGCAGATTATGGCCAGGTAAAGTGAATGGGTTAGATGAATTTTAACCAATAGCAACATCTGGTTGACATTCGAGTTTTAGGTCTACAGAAACGTAAACAATGTAAAGGACATGCATACACTTACTATATGGGATCCAATAGATGAATCTTCCTTGATGTGCACGTTGCCATGTATATTTGTTTAATCTGTCTTTTTTTTGTTTTACTTTCCTAGAGTAAACGCTAAATTGTCTCTGTTTCGGTTTCTCATCTGATCTACCCCAGCAGTCTGAATATAGAACACACATAGATACACCTCCATAACACGCTACAAGATGCATATACACCTTTTTGCATCTACCCACACCTGCGAACAAACACGCAGATCTATGGACATTTATATGTTCCCTCCATCCCAATCCGAGCGTCCTATTTAGCTTAGGGAATTAACTAAGCGTTGAAACTGTAATCTTTAAATGAATGAGGGTAAAAGATGGAGATAAAGCTACTAACATTCACCACATTTGAACAATTTTCTATAGTATTAGTGGGACCAAAGTACCTTTTACACAACTCAATAGTGAAAAGAAGTGAGTAGCATAGAGAGCACTTTCTCTTCAAAAAAAAATGTACACAATTTGGGAACAATTACTATGCATAACAGAAAGTAGGACAACTAATTTAGGGTATACACGTACTAAACAGACCTGAGGTTTTATTGCTTCTTGAACAGTTCGAAGTGCGAACTCTTCAGGAGTCCCTGGGCGCAGAATAGCCTGCCTAAACAAATCCTGTAAAATAGCAAACCAAAACTTTAAGATGTTAATAGATTTTCAATACATAAACTAACTGTTTTTGTGTGTTTGTGCGGAAAGTTCCAATGTCTTATCCCCATTTTAAAGACTGCAAAAATGGTGACGAATATCAATGGAAAACTACCACAAGAAAGAGAAACCACATAGCTTACCATATTGAGGATTGAATGGCTCTTTTTTCAAATTTTCTTTGGCGAGAGACGCTATAAAATCGTGCGAAAGCGATACATCTGTTTGTGAGAGAAGGGAAGCAGAGACTGCTGGGGGTTTTGGGGGTTTTTCTTGAATTTACTTACCTCGCTTTCTTTTTCCGGCTTATGCAAAGGAAAGAGTAA